AAAGAAAATGAAATAAGTCATCCACTAGGTAATCATACTGCCACCAGCATCTAAGTTGCATCAGTTCTACAAGGAATACTACGATTTTTACCTTTTAGTTTTGATATCCTCTCGTTCCAAATAATACCCAGAAATCATCATAAACGGATAAAAAGGATAAAGCTCTCAACGTTGATCAATCCATGAGAGATGCGCCATGCATTCGACTTCATTAAGCATCGTTGGAGGTGACTGAATGCTTATCTAGCCTTTACAATGACTCACAGTAGCCTACCGATGTATCGAACCAGTGCTGCTATCATCCCCGGAACGATGGAACGTATAGCAACTATTCCCAGAATAGCTTTTATTTCTTTCTATATATATTTGTATATTTTTACTACTGTATGTTTCAGTATTAAGGATCATATCCACTGTTTCTCAAGTTGCCTAGCAAATGTCGTAGTACGTAAATATTTCGATCCTATGCAAACCTATCTTTGCAATCTGAACTCATTGTTTGTTATTCAAAAGTCATCATGAGTACAATAACAAGAAGGGCATGAGGATGTTTGCGAGAGCAGTCTTCCGCCAGATGATACGTGGTTTTGAGAGGACATGAAGACGGTAGCCGACGGATTTTTTCGGTAAAGATGCTGGATCTGTGCCAAATACCGCCTTCTCCAGAACCATTTAAATAGCCTCGTTAATTGTTATCGAGGTTCACCCTTGTCCAGGTTCGTCGACTATCCAGGTTCACCCGTGTCGGGGTTCGCCGGCTCTTTAGATCTGTACCGTATTGGTCTCGTGTGTCACCAATGTAGGTTATGGCAGTTGTTAAATCATACAGCACGTAGTCATTATTGCACATTAACTTCATCATATCAGTGTTAAATGACAGTTGCGAATTGTACATTAGTGTAGCATCACCGCCACTACGTCACGCTATCCATCAGCCCAGTGTATCCTCTTCATCACCATCCTGATCCTCATCCTGGTGTCAATGTTCATTGTTTATCAATTGGTCTGCGGGTGTTGTCAGTAGCGGCGGCTATCCTCAAGTGCGATCTGTCTGAGATGCCATCGGTGGCATGTACCATTCCTCCCACACGGTACGCCATGTGTACAAGGCCGCTAGCCGGCCAACTTATGCTGTGTATTTGTTAAGCCGCTATAGGCTTATCATTTCTCAGTTGTTATCTTTCTGGCCTATAATCTCTTAGGCAATGATGGCACCCATCGATGCTCAAACTTCACATTGGAGACATGTCGTTATCCATGAGCAGCCGCCTGACCGTGCTCCGCAGATATCTCATCTCGTTCGTAGTCACTTCCACCATCAATGCTTAGGTAACTTGCTATTCTCGTCGATTAATGTGCGAGTGCACCCAGCCGCTTACACACGATCCCCAGCTTAGTCTACTGCAGGGCTCATCTGCATCTCACTCGTCTGTTGTTCTAGCCCTCGGCATCTGGGCCACTGTACGCGCCAGTACGGGCGCCATCGTTCATATTCCCTTACTTGTCATTGTTATCAAGTTGTTGTTATCATAGTACTAATGTTACAATAGTATTATTTACAATACTCTTATGCCTTCGTAAGCCTCGTTTTAGTATCTGTCAGCAGTTCTCTGTCGATATCAGTATTGTATTGGTGTTGCGTTTATGTGTATAAACGGTTCAATTACCCAAGTTTGGGGTATTGCCCTGCGACAATGTGCTAAAAGCTAGTGATTATTCGGTGCCGAGAACTGACTCAGAAACCTATTTTCGACTAGCAACTGCAATAGAAGACTTGGTGGGCCATAGGCGCGGCATCGAATCCACGTGTGTGTTGCAGGGCGCTCCGACCACTTCATTCATTCATCATAGGGATTGGAAACTAGAAAACAACGAATTGCTTATCAAGAATGATTCTGGACACTGCATGCGATGCCAGTTCTTCGAGGCCGAGACACTTCCGCACTTCTGCACTGGCCACACTCTCCGCGGCGCAGTCTCCTCAACAGCAACAGTCTCTTGCAGCGAAATGAGGAATTACTGGGAAATTATTAGAACGATGTCCTCCCACGGACGACGACCTCCATGCGATCCAGGTTTTATAAGCTGTCGACTGATTACAAGAGTCCACTGTAAAAAACTACATAAAGTAAACGGAAGAATTCTCTGTAAGCGTTCTTTACATTTCTGTATAAGTGTTCGTTTGGACGAATTTTTAGAATAAGACAGTGGAATCTGTTCATCAATATCGGAAGTTGCTGCCTGGAACAAAAATTTATCAACAAACTATAGGTGTTAACAGGAAAATTACAAATAATACCAGCATTAAGAATGAAGAAAAAATAATTTCGGACGATCCGCTTTTTAAGCACCTTGCAATTTCCCCTTCCAACAATCACATAAATACGCTCGCTGAATTCGTAGGACTAATCCAATGATTGCGTAGTAAAAAGGATTGAGAAAGGCAGAATAGGGATGATGACGGTCCCTCATTGATCTGCCGATGCTATAAAAAAGCTCGACTTTTGACTTTTACTATAAGTTACATTAATACTAATGTTATGAATAACAGAAAACTATTGTGGATGCTACAATGTTAACTTTTTAACCACAACGTTGCTGAGATATTTGCAAAACTCTGGACCGCAGGTGTCTATGGTGGGGAACAAACGCGCTATTGTCCTTTCCGGGGAGTAACGCGTTCACCACCACACCATGTGGGTCCTTTGTTTCGCCTGTCTCTCAGCTAAAAATTGTACTAGGCAGTAAATAAAAGTTAGCATTGTGATTTCGACTACAGCTTCAGCTAAAATGTTTTCGTTGCCGATTTGGGCTCCCTAGGTAAATCCCGTTGACGGCTGATTGCTGATCGCGCTGATCGAAAGAAATAGCTGAGAGACGGGTGAAACGAAGGACCCGCATGGTGCGGCGGTGAACGCGTTCCCCCGGAAAAAGTAATAGCGCTTTCGTTCCCCACCGCAGACACCTGCAGTCCGAAGTTTTGCGAATATCTCAGCATAACTGTGCTTATCGTGGAAGTTCTTGTCGCTCATTAACACATTCGTAACCACATTGATGCTCAGATATAAGCAAAACTCTGAACCCCAGCGTTCTATTCAGTAGACCAACCGAGGACTCTGCTTTGCATTTCTCTCAACCAGTATTTCCACTCTAACGGTGCTATAGGCAATCTCACCTGTTGATTGAAATAGCCTGAGGAGTACAAAGCGAAATTGAACTAAGTTAGCTGAAAGTACAGTCCAAAAAAAATTTGTTGGAAAGCGCTAAAAAATAAATAGTTGAATGAAATACTGTCAAGACAGATGTGACTATATATAAATGTTCCGCTACCAGTCTTGATGAACAAAAAGAGGGTTGAAAACTCCCTTTATCCTGAGACGTTATTGACAACAGAATATTTTTAATAGAATCTACTTCTGTACCCCAGAAATCCCTCTCGATGCCTAAGAGAATTACCAAACATTCTTGTTTTTGTTTGATGGAAGCAACGTTTCATAAGGGCAAAAACTAAAGGATGAAAGGATAAAGCTCTCGGTGTTGATCAATTCCTGAGAGATGCGCCATGCATTCGACTTCATTAAGTGTCGTTTGCACGTCACTGAATGCATATGCATATCTGGTCTTTACAATGACTCGCGGTGGCCTACCGATATATCGAGCCAGTGTTGCTATCCTGCCAAGCAAGTCTGGGATCAACTTGCCGACACTGGAGGGCTGGAAGGCTTGATGAGCCATAGGCACGGGGATCGATCCCATGCATGTGTCACAGTGAGCCTCCGATCATCGCGCTAGACGAGACTATAGGGTCAAAACTAGTGAAGCGAATAGGATAGCGATAGTTATTCCGCTTCATGTAATTCTTTTTGCCTCTTGTTCTAGTTTTAACTGACCATTAAAACTGTTCGACAGTTTTAAAACAAACGTTGTGCCGTCAGCACTCGTTGAGCAAGGAGTAGATCTGTGAAACGTGTGAATTCTAGCTGGTATTGGAATAAACTGCACCATGACGGTCAGCTCCTCCATCAATCGCCTATCATCTCCGTAGAAAATCAGGTAAAACAAGGCGTCACCATCTCATCAAAACTGTTTTGCATCGCTGTGTAATGGATAATGAAGTGGACTGACTGGGATGAGAACGGACTTTTCCTTTGACGGACTGGGAAACTCATGACGACCTCATTGATAGTGGATGAACAAGGTTTTAACATCTCCATGAGGCCATACATTATATATGGGAACCAAGGAAAAATGAGTCGATATATTTAAACAGGAGAACTTTATAGCGCAAATATGACAAACTAAACGACGTAACGTGGTCGGTTTACAATGGAATTAGCTCACGTCGTTTTAAATGTTTCGAATTGAACTTTAAGCAAACGAATAAGTTAAACCTAAGTAACATTCATAACAGAGAACTTAAGTACAAACCTACACGTGAAGGAATAAATAGATCGTAATTCAATATCAGTTCATTCTAACAATTCCAACAAATACTTAGCCTTAACGTCCATGAGAAGAAATAAAGGTGCCACTACGATGATCATGTTGAAGGTTGAAATCACTACGAAACGAACTCACAAGTAATAATCCAAGGAAAAAAACCGGAAAGTAGCGATCGGAATCCATTCGTTTGAGAAACTCGCCTTCTCATGTGAGCATCACGTGGTCCTGAAACGACTAGGCTCTCTGCGTAATTGTCCCAGGCACTGGACGCTGTCCAATTTTTGAATCCGCTATTGGAGCGTTTCGAATCGCTATGATGCTGTAGTGTTCCGATGGTATTTTTCCTTCAGTGATGTTGTTTAGTATAGGTCTTGAGGCTAGACTGTTATTTGATCAGATGTTACTTGATAGCTGAAAATGTTGATCGTCGATTCCAATGACCAGCTTTTTCACGGTTTCGGAGCTGCTTGCGAGGTTTTCAAACTTTATCTTTGTGAATTTCTGGGGATTACGTATAAGGAATATGCAGATTTTCGTCTTAGAACCCTTGTTTGCCATTATGTTTTGCTCAGGTTTATCCTTAGAGTTAATTATACATACGCATTTGTTAACGAAGGGTTTGTGTCTTGGTTATGTTTCACTGAAACCTAACTTGTTCTTTAATGTTTGTTATGTGTTATCTACCCATCAAAGGAGGTTATGTTTAGGATATGTTTTACGCGCAGTTCGTTTTATCTAAGAAAGGTCCATTGGCAAAGATTTGGTTGGCAGCTCATTGGGAAAAGAAGTTGTCCAAGGCACAAATCTATGAAACGAGTGTTCAGGATGCTGTGGAGGAAATAATAAGGCCGAAGGTTGTTTGTAAAACCAATCTTATTTTCTTTCATGATGCAGTTCACTTTTTGTATAGGTCAAAATGGCTCTTCGCACAACTGGTCATCTCTTGCTTGGCATTGTTCGAATATATTCGAGGAAGACGAAGTATCTATTGGCCGACTGTAACGAGGCTTTCCTTAAAATCAAAATGGCATTTCGCCCCGGACAAATTGAACTGATCGATGATGGTAAAGAGGCTCCGTTGAATGCGATATCCCTACCTGAGGTGTGTCTTATACGGGCTCTCAAAGGTCAGATTGATATCACAGATCAATGTGAGCCCTTTTAGGTGTACACTGATTTCGATTCTACACTTCCAGACTTTAATGAAGTTGAATTTGCTAACCATCTGCAGGTACTAGTGTTTGGAGACCATCATTTTTTCACATGCTTTTACAAGATCCTGCAACATTTTTCCACTTCAGATAAACCAAAGTAGAATCGATGACATAACATTGAAAGAGGATCACATTTCTGATCACCACATGTTTGGTACCGATTTCGGAGTGAGTTTCTGTATTGAAAATTATTGTAGAAGTTGCAGTATTCTACTTGGTTTTCCAGAAATTGATGCAGAACTCGTATTTCTGTTTCTTCTGTTTATCTTTTAGCAGTAGTTTTTTCATATGCTGTCCTTTTACGTATGAGTACGGACTTGTTTCGTAAACTTTCGCGTGGCATAGTACCCTTGTAATATGGATCGTATTATCGAAAAATAGTACAGGTCACAAGCTGAACTCGAAACAGCAATCTCGACAGATTTACTTTGACGAATTCAAACTCGGGTGTAATGCAGTGCAAACGGTTCAAAACATTGTTGAAGTACGAAACCAAAGAAATCTTAACGGACTCACAGAGCGATGTTGATTTGAAGATTTTTATAGTAGCGAATTCAACTTTAAACATGGAAACATGGGTGAAGCCGCGATAGTCCTTGTGCTATTGACGACGATGAATTGAAGGTTTCGCGATGCATTTGCAGAACTGGGTGTAAGCCTCTCAGCTGTTTGGGTGTACCTACAAATTATTTGAAAATCGCTCGACAAAGAATGTCGTAGGAATTTGCAGCACCTCTCGCAAATGACGCAATAAAGGTTGAACGATCTTTGCTACCAACCTCTGCCCCATCCACAATGGTCGCCGGACCTCCCTCCTACCACCTCTCACTTCTTTAACCTTCTCGACAACTGTCTATACGAGGAACGCTTCAGGAACCAAGCCGATGGCGGAACTACCTTCAGCGACTTCATCGTCTCCATAATTCCAGAGTTTTTACTCAACCAAGATAAGTACTCGTTTTTCGTTGGTAGCAGTGTGTAGATTCGAATAGTTCATTTCGACGTGTAAAGTTTGCTCTGACCTTAGATACTCACGCGTCGAGTGACACTTAAAGGTTTCGTAATGTTTTGACGACTTCATTCTCATCAGAGCCGGATTTATCCGAGCCGATGACTCACAGTTGGTCATTGCCATAATGTGACTATTTGTTGTCTCATGGAGTGCAATGCCATGGAGAAAGCACCGCTTAAATGGTTCGCTTCACACAGCGATTCACTTCTATACAGGACGAGTGTTGAAAGATTGCCGTCATCCATTATGATCAACTTTGGGTGGGCAGTACATCCTGTATCAGTCGGTATTATACTAGCTAGCACTGGTTTTGTGGAGGTGGTCGGTGAGACACCTATAGGTGTCATTTTCTCTCCGATGGTTTGCTTTGGTGTGCAGAAGTTTTTTCCTATCACCTATATCACCTGTAGTCCCGTTGATCGTCGAGTGGCTCGAGCGTGCGCCAGTAATTCTTCCATTTCTTCCCTGTCGTGTGCAAGAGTAGCCCAGTGGGTTCTGCTCTCTAGGGACTCGTTGAGCATCATATCTTTCTTCAAGGCTCTATGTGTAGAGCTCTGACCATTGGGTCGGTGGTCTTCCTGAAGTAGGCTTGAAATCACGAGGATTCCAGTCACTAACGGCTCTTGTCCATCGGTTGTCGTTCATACGCATTACCTGTCCGGCCTACCTTATCTTCGACTGTTTGGCGTACAGAACGGCATATTTGATTTTTGATCGTTGACGCAGGTTGGATCTTCGGATCCCCTCCCTTACTTGCGTGACACGGGATACTCCTATACTCGTCCTTTCGACTACCGTTTCAGTAAAGCTGAATGATCTTTTAACCTGCTTACGCAGCGACCAGGTTTGTGACTCATGCATCAAGGCAGGAAGTACCGTTGAGTCGAAAAGGTAGGCACGGAGTCTGGTGTTCTTTGTTTTCCTCACTACTTCTTCGATGGTCTGGAAAGCTACCCAAGCTGCTCGTTTCCTTCTACTCAACTCTGGAGCTAAGTTGTTCATCATATTGATTTTCCGACCTAGATAGGCATAACTGGAGCATTCGGAGATATTCGTTCCGTTGAGCGTGAATGGGGCATACGAAACCAATCCATTCCTCATAAACATCGTTTTTGTGAGATATAGTCTAAGACCAATCTTTCTACAGGCTTTATCAAGGTCGACCAGCATTCGTTTTGCGTAGCTAATGTTTGGTGTTATGAAGACGATGTCGTCAGCAAAGCGAAGATGGTGCAATTGCTGGCCATTGATTTTCACTCCCTTATTATCCCATTCCAATGTTCGCATAACGTTGTCGAGGGTGGTGGTAATTTTGGCGAGATGGTATCGCCTTGCCTAACCCCTCTTTTGACGTCGATGTTAATATCGTTGTAGAATGGTGTTATCTTGGTTGTAAAATTTTTGTACAACTCACGATTTTTCTAACTCTTCTAATCAGTTGATAGCTTATTCAACATATATTGTGGTGGATGTAGTCCAAGGGAAGGTATTCGGTTGATAATTTGTAACTTAATATCTCATTTTATGTCGAAAGACTATTGCTGTTGAAAGGATTGTGGGCCTAGACGGTACTGAGAGTGAAGAGACGTAGAAATACGTCTTCCTCGAGGAATTGGCAGCGCATGCACTGTGCGGATTTTTTTTTGATGAGCTTTTTATTTTTCTAATTTTCAATTTTTTTTTTCAATTTTTTAAATCAATTTTCTAATTTTCAATCTCTATGGTGGCTTTTGGGTATTGTTTGGAATGAGGTTGTGGAAACTGACAGGTAAACATCGTGACATATTTTGCAGAAAAGGGTAGGAGCAGTGGAAGCACTGCCGTAGTGACTGCTGTGACAGCTGTAGGTTTCGCTGTGAGTGCGGCGAAAAATTGAGCTTCTCTGGAAAAACGTGGAATTAGGCTTGCTTGTGAGAGTGTTAAAGATAAAGGGTTGAAATTGTGCATTAATTTCCTAACAACTTAATATTGTGACGGGAGTGTCAAAATTGTTTTTTTTAGAGATTTCCAAGTTCCATTTCAGAACGATGAGTTCGGAGATACTGGCTTTGGACCTATTACCTTCGGGATTGATGACGATTTTGGAGAATTTCCCCCTCTTGCTCTATTTGACGATAGCAGGTTTGATTTGAAAATTTTCAACTCGTTTCTTACCTTTGTTTCATCTGTCCACCGGAATTCTTATTGTTTCGCTTTCGTCAATGTGGTTTCTTTTCAGTGGTATTGAAGCACAGCGAGATGCCAACAGTTTTTCTGCCGGAGATATCCGTCTAGGCCAGTGAGTTAATTCTTAGTCATCTTATTTCTTTTCATTTAGCGGTATGATTCCCACTACTTAGACGTGACATTCGTGAGCCAACTCCAAGCTTAGATGGCGCAAAAGCTCCTGGGGTCAACATTTTCCTTGACGATGACTTTGGTGGTATGGATTTAGGAGGCGGGGATGATGACATGGAAGGTATGCCTATAATTGTGACAGCTCTTTCTTAAGTAGTTTGTCTGCATCTCATTTTCTTAATGCTTTAGTGGATCGATTTTTACACTTTTATTATCAAACAGGTGGTAATGTCTGGTTGTTTTTAAGTGGTATACAAATTTATCTGTGAGGTGAAGCAGGTTCAAGCATAGTGGGAGGGTTTATTTTCAATTTTTGAAACCTTCACATTTTTGATGAGATGCAGTCTTGCCAGAATAGTTCGCGTGGCTTTCTACGTTTTTTTTCTACATATGCAGTGTGTTCTGGTGACTATCCTATGCTTACCTATTACATTTGTCCTTCTCAATGCTAGTGGTTTTGCTGTCTTGAGAATCTGTTAGGTTCACTAAATATGCGTTTCCATTTCTTTTGAAGTAGCTTTTTACATTTGAGTAATCGGAAATGTTTTTGAAAATAATCAATATGCTTGCGTTCATTAGAGTGCGACTGCAAATTTTTAAGGAATTCTATGGTCAGTTTACTATATTTTCGGAAAAGTAGTATATTAGGTGTGTTCTCTAGGTTATTTATTTCATGAAATGTCAACAATTCTGCAGATTCTGTAGCACAGGACAACAATGACGATCTTCAACTTGGGGCAGCCGCAAATAATCTGGGTTTGTCATATCTTTCCCACTCTTTCTGTGGCATATATTTGCAGGCCTTTGTCGAACTAGAGATTTTCAGGTGGAATGCCGGAAGCACAGGAAAGTTTCACTTTGGAACCTCTCGAAGCTGGCGCTCTGGATCATCAGCAGGAACGCAGGCGTAGAAAACGTCGTTTGATTATCGATGATCAGAAGAATATTAGTGGCGACGAAATGAAGGCGAATATGGCTGATTACTCGTATGTGATTGATGATAACTTCGCGAAAGTTTATGGTTTTACGTATCGATTAATATTGTTTAGAAATTCTGCATCAGATTTTAGTTGCCATTTTACAGAGATACACTGCAGTCCCTGGATCTAGCACCACCAACTCGTCGGCTTATGCGTATGAAGGAATCAGGAGTAGTAGAGAAACTTTTCCACCTTCCAGGATGTGCTTTCTTGAGGGCGAAACCTCTTATTCGGGTGAGTGCTGCATCGTTTTATGTAAGCTTTTTAAAATTTTATTTGAGCATCATATGATATTATTAACGAGTTTTCATGGCTTTCATTCAACTTACTTCTTTTTTGTTCCTATATAATCTCTTTTTGCATCTTAAATATTTGTTTTTGTGACGTTACTGCCCTCACGTATACGTTAGTGCTACACACCTACTAGTTCTTGAAACACCAAGTCAGCAAGTCATAAAAGATTGTCACTTCCCTTAAATAGTTAAAGATGTTGTGGGTAAGGTGAGATTGAAGAAGTATTTGTTACTGTATGTTTTCTATAAATTTGTCGTTGGAGACGCCAGTGTCCTAGTGGGGAGAGTCAGTGACAGCAGCATTGCGAAGTCTATTTTCGAAAACTAAAACGAAGACGGAAACTGTTCTGTTGGACTCCTGTCCACAGCATATCTTTTCTATTGAAATTATTGTTTGCGAAGAAGATCTCCATTAAACATGTGAGAGACTTCACAGTGCGACTTATACGGTGATAGAATATATTCTCATAGTAAGCATTTAATGTGCATTCATGAAAACATCGTAATACTTTGGTGGATCAGATCACCGTCTTCTTCCCGTGATTCAAGCATAACCTGAGAAAGACACCCTCATATTTTAAGAAGGCAACGATGATTCGTATATACCCAGAACATTCTGCCCGAAGTCCTATTCATACGCAGCAACGGACGACTTATTCGGAAATTACAAGCCGTTCGTCTAAGGAATTCTGTCAAATAAGTCCTTGTTTTCTAACTGAGAAGTTCGATTTATTTCACCACTGTAATCAAGAGTTGTTCGATAAGTCAAGAAGACATGTTAGATCCGCGTTCAGCACTCTTGATCTTAATGTAGTGAAGCCAGTTGCGAAGAACATTGTAGAGCGTCTCACAGCGGTAATGAAGAGCAAATTGTTTGAGGGAGCTAGAGAAAGAAATACGTCGATCTAGTCGAGACTGATGTGTGTATTATGTTCCGTAATCATTCCTGATAAACAACAATGAGATTGCCGCAATTTTTCTCCAAAAGCGTCTATTTCCATTCCTTCTCGTTAAGCATGTGGACAGACACTGCCCCAGAAGTAGACGGAATTAGCGCCGACTTTCCTAGGTTTGGAAGTTGCGAATTACGCACACTTCGCGCAGCATTCTTTACAACATATTCCCGAAAGAAAAGAATCCAAATTCAGTAGTCTCGTGCACGATCATTTTGACCAAGATGTGTAATCTAGAAGTTCTTCGAAGATGCAGCTCAAATTCCTTGTTGGCTGTGGTGTACAATTCATCTGTTGGCAGTGCCACCTAAAATTTTTTTTTACTCCATATTACTCCATATAGGAGACCCGAATTTTTCATTACTTACTTGATGCCTGAACGGCCCGTCCTCACTGGTTGTGCAGGCCACTGCGTAATCTCCACTTTCGGAGATTTGCTGGTTAAGCCATTATGGCTCCCTGGAATTCCGAGGTCGACCTGGCTAAAGTCTGCCTCAGGTCTTCACTACCACAGGCAGTCGCAGTCGTTGTGGATCAGAGGGTGACTTGCCACTAAGCGAATTTGATACCAGGACGGTGGTGGGTCCTGGTACTGGTTTACTCTTAGCTAGGTTTTCTGATGAAAATGCCGGGCTACTTCCCGGTCTGGGACACCTTGCCGTGGGGAACGAAACCTCCACTGCGCATCGCAGTCCGACACCCAGAGAAACTTCCCAGCCACGATGAGGCAGTAAACCGTTGGGAGGAAAGTTTTCATTACTATGGTTTACTTAGTACTAACTGATATTTCGACGGGTTTACCTTTTTCAGGGTCTAAAAATGTCAAATTGACACGCAATCTACTTAATCAAGCACTTAGTAGGCTCAGCAGGAAAAACTCAGTAGACGAATTTTATTCTCCTGTTAAACAGCTTTGTTAAACAGTCACCGTTTTGTTCTTTATAAATCTTCTACTCTATTGATGGAGACCAGCAGCCGAAGAGAGTTTTACATGTGTGAGGAATGTGCCTAGCTCAGGTTAAAAAATCGCTCCTGAGTATGGGGCAAGGTTACCAGTCGTTTACTACACGCCACGGAAAAGCCTTTTACAGCGATAAAATTCGTGCCATTGTATCGGTACTCGTTGGCCTACTACTAGAGCCGTAGAGGGTTGTTGGTCTATATATATGTCTATATGTTCTTATGACCACGGATGACTCTCACATGAGGGATCTCGACCCAGTTAGTCGCAGGAATACATGGCGCGTCTGCAGGTGGCGGATAGGGGGTTAATCGCAGACCAAAAGCGACTCTTGCTTTTCTGAGATGCAGGTGGATCCAGAGGATGGACTCTCTGTTTCTGATGCGCCGAATTGGTACAAACTTTCTGTATTTGCAAGGCGTATTCATGCATGCGTGTGTGGGTGCGTTCTTGCTTATGCGGATTGTATTCTACGAGTCAATTCGGCCAAAAGCCTCCAATCAGATTACAGGGAAGTATTTGTATATGGGGGGCGGTTAGGAGTCACCTCCAACAAATAAGCTCCATGTACACTCTGGGAGAGCCTGGCAAGCTACACGTGAGCATACTCAGCCACCACATTCAGAGCCCAGCAAGCTATACGTGGGTATCAAAATGCTGAACACAGTAAAAGAAAACGGGCGATATTCCCCTGACTCCAATTTCGCAGCGTTGGGTAGGACGAGTACGGAGAGGTTGCTAAAATCTCAGGGCAAATGGAAGCTGCGTGGATCGCAAAGAACTATGGTGACGATCTGTACCCACAATGTACGTGTACACTTGCATCCGAGTCCTCAATAGAAGACTTACTCATGCAAACAAGAAGGATAAGGTACGACGTCATCTGCCTGGCCGAGGCGAGCCGATGCCAACCATTCAACGCCGTCTATGGCACCGGAGAAGAACTGTTCTTTGAAACATGCGACCGTAGAGGAGTCGGTGTTCTCGTCAACACGAGTTTGTCCACGAACATCGATTCATTCGAACAGCTTACAACCTGAATCGGACATTTACGATTAAAAAGATGTGAACCAATATCGGCTTTGACAATCTTCGTTGTTTACGCGCCGACATCAAACGATGACGAAGAAGAAATCGAGGCGTTCTATATAGGCTTGGATAAGTCCTACAGAGAAGACCATACATTCTTCAAGGTCATCTTTGGAGATTTGAACGCCAGGATTGGACCAAGAAGAACGTTTGAAGAATGTCACTTTGGTACCTATCGATTAGATTGAAACGAACAAGGTGAGTGGCTATCTGAGTTTATCATGGGACCAAGACCACCCACAAAGAACACCTGACACCGTGCCCACCTTTTCGACCCAACGGTACTTCCTGCCCCAGTGTATGCATCAGAAACCTGGTCGCTGCGTAGGCAGGGCGAAAGATTACTCAGCGTTATTGAATGCGCAGTCGAAAGAACAATGCTAGGAGTATTCCGTTTTGCACAAGTAAGGGATGGGATCCGAAGCTTCGACCTGCGTCAACGATCGAAAATCGAAGGTGTTGTTCTGTACGCCAACCATTCGAAGATAAGGTGGACCGGACACGTAATGCGTATGAACCACAACCGATGGACAAGAGCCATTAGTGACTGGTTTTCTCGGGATGTCAAACGTACTGCAGGAAGACGAGCGAGCAGAATCCACTGGGCTACTCTTGCACGCGACAGGGAAAAGTGGAAGATTTACTGACGCCCGCTCGGGTCACTCGACGATCAACGGGACTACAGGTGATACAGGTGATATTTTAAGAACTTAGCTGTGTGTTTTACACGCAAACGTTTTCTTCCAGTTTTGTGTTGCTAATAGCTTTTTATTACAGCTCCGATAGATTTAAATGTTTGACATTATTTTTGGAGTGTGGTGAGGTCGCTTTATGTAATGTACACTTTCTTTCGTGCTGAAGAATCTCTCCTTTTACTTGGCATTAATCGGATATCAAAAATATTGTAAATGGAAGGTGCCGTTGGAATTCACATTTAGCTTCAAATTAATGAAGATACACGCTGTACGCTTGCAAGCAGCCCCATTACGTGAGGTTTACTTTTCGTTTTGTAATTTCTTGTCTGACATTATCCCTTTATCTTATGTTTTTAAACTGCGTCAACCTTGTAGCGCAACCCTTTTTTCCTGGTTCGTTTCTTATAGTATTGGTAGTGATCCATGCCGATAAATGGCACTTTTTTGTTGGGAGCAATTGACAGGCATTGTCGTGGGTACTTTTTTTCGTTGTTCGATTTGATGATCATTGCCGTACTCAATCGAGCGTGTTTTCGCCGTCATAAAATAATCAGTTTTGTACCATCCGATCTATAAAATCGGGTATTGGCAGCCTTTCATATATTGCAAATTTACTGTTTTATATCCTATGCTCTTCTTCAATCGTAATTTTCCGGTCGTGCAGTGGAAGTAGTCCCTGTTGTTGCATCTCTTGTTATGGCTTCCTTCCGGCGACCTGACCGTTATGACCGGCGTTTCCTTTCACATCGAACAATGGGTGTTGACAAATGATAATAGAATAGCCGAGCCGAGAGCGTGTAGTAGGCGATATGTGACAGAATAGGTCATCCACACCAACTAAGCAAACATTTTTGCTATATGATCTGAATTATGAACGCGGTAGTAACAGGCTGTTGTTCGGCTTTTCTGTCGTTGTACTTTTTTCTTATTTCACCGATCTCCATACTTTACCTTGATAAAATTCCATTTTCAACCTAGAGATTAGGTCATTGCTATGAAAAAACTTCCAGCGTTACTCGTTCTACTTCATCAACAAGCATCCCTTTTGAGAACAAAGGATTCGCTTCAATGCTCTTTTTTCGAAATAAGGTGCAGTCAAGTAGTGTCGAAATACTCGGACTTTTCTCAATTTTACTACATATGAAAGCAAAAAAGATCTCTTCAAGATGTTTTTCAATCCTTTTGAGGAAATCGAGAATGTGATGGTTCGAATCATTACTTTTTGATGATTGCGTTTTCCCTAATGATTGACCGAATTACCATGGCATGTTTTTTGATGCTAAGTTGGAATGTAAACTCCGACGTGTTCGTTCGTACTGGTGAGGAATTTGTTATTTAAATCCGGAGGCCTATCTAAGAATAAAATTATATGAGGAATCGCTGTCCTGCAAAGAGAAAACTTTTTAAATCGTCGCAAAAAAAAAGTTCTGCTATCGCACGTGATAAGCAATTGGGTACGTCCTGGTACTGTGTTTTAGAAAATCGAAGAGGAGAAAGAACTACAAAAAGAATCAAGGAAAAGTTTTTTCGGTGTCTTTCAGAATTCGTGACGAGGGATCATCCTTATATCCAATTTTATCTAAGTGTGAAGGTGTTATTTCTAAGTTGTTTGTGGGTAGAGTAGAAGTTTGTCACGCAAGTGTCCTCCATTGTTGTTATCTTCAAACTTATTTCTTAATTCATTTTTTCAGCATATGGTTGGGCACTAAGCCGAGTTT